TGATAGAACAATTTATTAAATCTTTATAAATTTCTTCTCTTTGAATCTAGAACCATTACAATTATATATAGCGTCAGGACAACCTATCACTTGTACACAGTGACAAAGGAAAGGAAGAATTCTTCTCAAGTGCGGTTGTCTGGTAGGGATGTGCAATTGAGGAATGGCTTGTGGACTGGGTTCTTTGACTTTATGCCTTGTTGGTTTCTACACATTCCAACAACGTTGTGGGTACCACCATTCATGTGAACAGGTTTATTTCTTTTCTTTTTTATTTATTTATTTATTTATTGAATTGAATGGTTAAAATGTCTTTATATTAATTTTTACGAACTTTAAATCTAATATCTTTTCAATTTAAACACATTTTTTATATTAATTTAGTATATTTAAAAAAATTATTTTTCTTGAGTATTGATGCTAAGACTTGAATCCTATATTTGTCCCATAAAAGCAATGTAATCTAAATATCCATTGGATGTTCGGGACTGGGCTTATGAATTCCATAGATGTACTCTAAATAACAAGATGCATATAAAGCAATTCAGAATGATGTAACCAGCAGCAACCACGAATCGATTTGCTTGACTTCCAAAGGCAATGAGAATTCTAACTCCTACATACAAGACAATAGCAACCACTAGTCGATTTGCTTTACTTCCAAGTGCAATGAGAATTCTAACTCCTACACACAAGAAGCATCAAAGACCCATATACCAGAGCTTGCTATGCCGTTATCTGAAAGGAGGGGAAAAATATAATTAAAGGGGAAAGCTAAAAAAGGCACCACACGTAAGCCATATCCAACTAATTAAGAATTTATAAAAATTGATTTCAATAGAGTTCCTAACCCAAAGCACAAACTAACTAAAGCAGTTCAAAACCACAATTCATATATAACAGCCATATTGAAATCACAATGCTATGAAATCCATTGAATGTGCTATAGCACTCACATTAGGGCTGAAGCTAGCTAGTCCCAGTCACCACTGCCAAAGGTCCACTACAACCCTGAAAGATCTGTTGAATACCTCAAACCATAAGCTATGGTTCACACAATAATAATAGGAATTAAGTGGAGTCCCCTAAAATTCGTATTATTTACAACAAATAATCACTTGCCTTTTTCACATACTAAATTGTATATAGTTCATAAATCTACATGCATTGATCTCTCCAGAAATGCACATAAAGTTCTGGCACACTTGGTAAGATCCACACAAATTCATACTAAGCTCATGAAGTTTCCAGGCAAGGAAAACCACAACTAGGCATGTTTTATAGTCAACTCAAGCTGTAGGTTCATTACAAGTCACTCACATGCATTCTAACTTAGGAATGCAAATTCAATACAAGCAACTCAATAAAATTAATTATAAGCACATTCATGGACAGAAAATCCCAATTAGACAGCATGCTGATTCAGCTAAGTAATAGTTGCAGCACAAGGCATGTCAGTTTTCAGGTAATTACCTTTATCGAGGCTCCAACACTGAATGGCTAAGTTCATTTGTTGAAGATGATTCAGGCTTGCTGGCTGAAGAATTTGTTTCAAGTGATTTCTTGTCAAAAAGGAAACCAGGTTCTTTGGGTTTTACCAGTGCAGTCTCACCACCCAGCATTAAAACCACAGATGACATAGTCGGCCTGTCCTCAGGATGTTGTTGAACACATAAGAGACTAATGTGGATGCACCTTAATATTTCTGATAGAGTGCAAGATTCTTGCACAAATGAATCAATCAATTCTGAAGCATTTCCTTCTTTCCACAATCTCCAAGCCTAAATAAAAATTTTAACTGTCATTTTCTAGTTCCAAGAAGGTAAGGATGTAGCTCCTGAACCTTGATACTTACATGTCCAATAATGTTAAGGTTGTCATTGAGATGGTAAAACCCTTTATTCTTCTTCCCACTTATTATCTCCAACAACAATATACCAAAGCTGAAAACATCAGATTTTACTGAGAATTTCCCATCAATGGCATATTCTGGCGCCATATAACCACTGCAGAAAACAATTAAGAAAATTATATCACCATGCATTTTGAATTAAATTAGACAGTATAGAGATAGGGCTTACTAGGTTCCAACTACTCTCTTTGTGTTCCCCTCAAATTGTTCTCCTCCAAATGCTCTAGCCATGCCAAAGTCAGAAATTTTGGGGTTCATTTCACTATCAAGCAAAACATTGCTTACTTTGAGATCTCTATGAATGATCCGCAATCGAGAATCTTGGTGTAGATAGACAAGTCCTCTAGCAATTCCACAAATAATGTGAAAACGCTTTGGCCAGTCTAATAGATTCCTTCTTGTACGATCTGTCACATAACATGTTCATCATATTAATGTACTGTTTCAACTAGAGCTTTTGAAAAAGAGTTGCATTGAAATAAGGAAAAAAAGTGTGATGAATTTATATAATTCTACGAAGTTAATTGAATAAGTTTAATAAAAATCCGAACCAAAAATGAAGCAGTCCAAACTTTTATTGGGCATATATTCATAAATTAGCATTTTCTCCTCCCCTTGAATGCAGCATCCTAGAAGCTTTACAAGATTTCGATGTTGAAGTTTGGCTATAAGTGCTACTTCATTCTTAAACTCAACTATTCCTTGTCCAGAGCTTCTTGAGAGCCTCTTCACAGCAATTTCTTTTCCATCTGGCAGAGTACCCTGAAAAAGTGTACTTGAAAAGTTGATTACTATATGAGTTATCCTAGTAATCATTTTTCTTAGAGCACCTAAATTTACCTTGTATACAGGCCCAAAGCCACCTTCTCCAAGCTTATTGTTTGAAGAGAAGTTATTGGTGGCATTTGATATTAAAGCTACCTCAAACAATGGGAGTTCCATATCTTCAATTTGCCTTTCATCACTGCAGCCATTTTCTCTCCCTGAAAGGGTGAATAATTTACCAAAATCAAATGGTGAGGAAAGCGCCAATAGAAGTTTCTTTCAATATTTAATGGCAACATGATTTGTTAAGTCAGAGAAACAAACCTTCTATGTTCCGATGGCTCCTTCGAATGTAGTAGGTGATTACAAAAACACCAGTAACTACAAGAATGACAGCTACAATTATCAGTCCTGCCATCATTTTAGTCTTGCCTTTTGTCTCTTCATGGTCTAATTCAATAGAGCAAAGACGAAATATATGAATTAGTGTTCTAGCAATGAAATGGTTTCACAAATTTACTGAAAATAGAACTGGAAACACCCAACATAAAGAGGAATCATAAGAACACTTCAGGAAATACTGAAATGTCTAACCCAATACCTGAATCAGAAGCAGCCACTCGAACATATAAATCTTGTCCAGAAGATTGGACCAGTTTAAGATCAATTAGATCATCAAACCAAATTGCACAACCGCTGGATTCTTTAATATTCAAGGTTGTATAGGCCATACAAGAACAATTCTCTAAGCATTTAGCCCTGCACTCCTTGAGGTTCATACTCTTATTCACCCAAGAATGTGCAGTATCTGGCAGTTTCAGACCACCAACTTTGATAAATCCATCACCTGTATGGCAATCTAAAGGTTTATTGCGCACACATCCCTGATGCCAGTCCACTGAGCTTTCTTCTTGTGATTTCGGCTTGAAATCTCTTAAACATTGACAAGGCGGTAGTGCTGTAATGACACAACTCCCATATGCCCCACAAGTCCCATAGATGTCACAGTCATCCCATGGAAAATGGTTGGACACTGTCCAAGTCCTAGTGTATTCATTCCACAAATAGCGTTCCCCCCTACTGGTAGTTTGGTTCACAATAAGCCTTGTGATTGCTGATTTTTTGTTGAGGTGAAAAATGTAGTAAACCTCCTCTTCATTTGAGACTAAGTTGACCGTAAACCACGGATTTGGCCTCAATTGGGGTAAACCACTCATTCCAATGCCATTCCAGGGGCCTGACCGATAGTATCTCTGCGAGCCTTTCCAAAGAACTGTATCAGGATTATTATATGGCAATACCCCATAAATTAAGTCTCCAGGGCATGGATCATCTGGGGACTTCCATGCCGATAATTGTCGATTAAGACCAGTCCTTAAGTCCCATCCAAGTTTCATCTCTGGCAACAAAGTATCAGCTGGATAGTCAAAGCTTTGCCACAAAAGTATTTCTGACTTACCGGCAATACTATCCTTTAGAACAAGATTTCCAGAATCCAGGAGCTGCACTACCGGGTTTTGAGCTTCTATCTTTGAATTTGATGCCCAAACAACACCCCTGCTTTGACTGAGGAGTACCAGATTGCCTGTGCTGTTTATCATCAGAACACCAGATGTGTCATTTATCGGGTCGCACCTGTTTGCAACCCAAACAACAGTTTGAATTGGGATATTCTTGTACCAAATTCCCAAGTAACGGCTCTTGGCAGAGCTTCCTGAACTGAAGAAGCCCAGTTCAAAGCTTTCATCACTAGAAACTAAGGTTCTACCATCACTAAGATTGGTGGATGAGGTGAAGATATCAGTTTCACATGAGAGTCCAGCGAAGAAAAGCAATAAGAGGATGATGAAAATAAACTTTAAAAAAAGAATTTCCATTTCTTTGCAAGTTTTCACGAATAAAAAAATAAAACCTTTATAATGGCAGCATTGGAAGAATACCAACCTAGAATGTTGACTAGTGTGTAGTCTTCCAATTTCTGACGACAGCTCTCTCTTTCTAGCAGTCCCCACTGCCCCGGAAAAAAAAGACAAGTACAGAGTAAAAAACAGAGACTTAACAAGTCAAGAACACTTTATTCCCATCTTTTCTTTTAGCAATGACTTGCAATAGAAAAATGCCTTGTGGAATGGGTTCTTTGACTTGTATAATGTTGGAGTTGGTAGCAGCAAATGAAAAGAAGGGAGAGCTGCACCAGGCAAAAGGTGCAGATCACCCCCTAAATTCAACAACTGGTAGCAAATCACCCCTCAACACACTTCACGCGCAAATCAACCCCTCAACTCACTTGCAGTGGCAAATCAGCCCCTCTCTTAACCCTTCCGTTAACATTTAACAGTCTGCTCATCGGCCCTTCCTCTGTGTCTGACGTGACCTTTTTGCTGAGATGGATGCTGAGGTGGAGGCACGGCTGGACAAATACCTCAAAATCAGCATATTATAAATCTGGTGATACAGGTAAACCTAGAGGAGGAGGAGATGGTGGTGTTGGAAAAGATTTTGATGGCTGAACGAGTTGGAAGACGAGTTAACTCAGCAGTTGCAGAGTCTAACTTGTTCGAGATGGAGTGCGTCCACGTTGGGAATTTAGTGGGTTGCTTGAGGCCGATGCTTCATGATCTGGTCGGCTGCATCTCTGCTGCTTCTCCGCCCTTATACGACCGGCCAATTGTCCGCATAGTCACTGAAGTCTCCAAAAACCTTGAGCGCGCATTGACCCTTGTCCGGAAGTGCAAGCGATGCACCCTTTTTCGCCGGTTTGTCACCAGCAAGCACGCAATCGATTTCCCCAGAAGCTTTGCACTTTTGGAATCTTCAATTGTCGATATGAACTGGTTGCTAAGCCTCTTCGACCCAAACATCGGCTGCGCCTCTAGGGAACCTAACCTATCCGTGCCTCCAATCGCAATCAAAGATCCGATTATTTCATGGGTCTGGGCGTTCATCGTCACCGTTGAAATGAGTCTACTAAAAAATCGCATCGAGGCCGCCGACAATCTTGCTAAAAAAAGGTTCAATTTTTAAAAGACGAAGAGGGGAAGAAGATGATAGAAGCTGCTAAACAAAATAAAAACCTAGATATCCTTAAAATATGGTAATTTGACAGACGATTCAAAACTTGACGAAAAACCCCATGCTCGATGAATTGCAGATCTTGCTAAACAAAGACGAAGAAGGGAAGAAGACAAAGATGATAGAAGCTGATCCCTAAATCCCCAAATCCCCATATCCCCAATTTTATTCCTTAAACACCTTAAGGGTATAAAAGTAATTTGTGTAATCTGCTGATTTTGAAGTATTTGTCCAGCTGTGCCTCCACCTCAGCATCCATCTCAGCAAAAAGAAGGCCACATCAGACACAGAGGAAGGGCTGATGAGCAGACTGTTAAATGTTAACAGAAGGGTTAAGAGAGGGGCTGATTTGCCACTGCAAGTGAGTTGAGGGGTTGATTTGCGCGTGAAATAAGTTGAGGGGATGATTTGCCAATAAAAATTCGTAATTAAAAGAGTCACTAAATCAATAAAACATACTACTTTAATTATTGTTATTATTATTTTATTATTTTTTATTTTTTATTATTAATTTGTGTAAAAAAATTGTAAAAACAAACCTTATTTTTAACATTAATTTCATATAGAACGAATTATTTAGCAGTTTTTTTAATTATAAGCTTTTTGCTTTTTATTGAGATTGCCCTCATTTATTTCGACTAAAAATACTATTTTCCTCTCTTTCCATCTCCGTTTGCATTCTTCACTCTGCTATTCCCTGCTTCAAAATTAGTTTACAAAATTGTATTTTCCTCTCTCTTCTAATCCCCCCTACTTCAGAATCAACTTTTTAACACACCATTTTGCTCTTCCATTTTCCACCGCCACTTAGAACAAGCTATTGCTATTAAAACCTCTTCCTTTGTAAAGGAAGCCTAGAATACAAGGGTGAAAGGAAACGGACGAAATATTTTACTGGTTTCATTCTGATGTTCTTCACTAAGATGTTGACAATATATGATTCTTTCAATAAATGAAAATCTATATGGTTGAACGTTAGAAAAAAATAGATATATAGGAGTAACAATCAATCACAACTAATTTCAAGACTAGCATTTATATGACAGAAAATGATAGGATTAGCATATTCCTACAAACAAAATGAAAATCTATAATAATAGGACTAAAATTTATAGTAACAAGACTAGCATGTTCTTCAATCTTTCATTGTTCCCTTTGATTTATTATTGTAAGAGATTGATTTCAATTGGGAAACAGTGGGGAAGTTGGAGAGGAAAAAACCAGGATTATGTAAGATGATTTTAACCTGGGAAATAGAAGAGCAAAGAAGGCAAACGGAGCTCGAAGAGAGAGAAAAAAGTCTTTACAGTAGAACTAAATGAGGGTATTTTTTTTTTTAACAGGTACAATTTAGGGTAGGAGAAGGAAAATTGTAATATAATAGTGTCATTGTTCGAATCTTAATTATTGTCAAAATATTGGGTACACTTATCAATTTATTCATAAAACTTGGTGTGTAAATGTGGGTATCTTAGTTTCAATAAAAAATAGAAATCCATAATTAAAAGAATCACTAAATCAATGAAGGATACTACTTTAATTGAGTTTCGATACCTTAATTAAAAATCCCTTTAATTTACCTTTATTTTTTTATTTTTGAAAACCTTCAGAACAACTAAACAATGGACATTAGATTTTTTATGTTTTTTATCATCATCCTCTTACTGCTTTTCTTCTCTACACTCTCATGTGGAACTGATATCATGATCTCATCCACCAATCTTAGTGATGGTGCGACCTTAGTTTCTAATGATGGAAGCTTTGAACTGGGCTTTTTCAGTTCTGGAAGCTCCACCAAGAGCCGTTACTTGGGAATTTGGTTAAAGAAAATCTCAGTTCAAACAGTCGTTTGGGTTGCAAATAGGTGCGACCCGATTAATGACACGTCTGGTGTTTTGATGATAAACAGCACAGGCAATCTGGTACTCCTCAGTCAAAGCGGGAGTGTTGTTTGGGCACCAAACTCAAGGAATGGTGCTCAAAACCCAGTTTTGCAGCTCTCGGATTCTGGAAATCTTGTTCTAAAGGATAGAATTGCTGGTAAAACAGAAACACTTTTGTGGCAAAGCTTTGACTATCCCACTAATTCTTGGCTGCCAGGGATGAAACTTGGATGGGACTTAAAGACTGATCTTAATCGACGACTATCAGCGTGGAAGTCCTCAGATGATCCATGCCCTGGAGACTTAACTCTTGGGATAGAGCGATATAATTATCCCGACCTTGTTATGTGGAAAGGCTCAAACAAGTATTTCCGTGCAGGCGGCTGGGATGGCATTGGAGCGACTGGTTTACGCCTACCGGAGCCAAATCTCTACTTTACGTTCAATGTCACCATAAATGAAGAGGAGATATACATCATCTATACCCTCAAAATCGAATCAATAATCACAACAATTGTTTTGAACCAAACTTCCAGTAGGCTGCAGCGCACCATATGGAATGAAGAAGCTAGAACTTGGGTAGTGTACAGTCAACTTCCAACAGATGACTGTGATAACTATGGGATGTGTGCGGCATATGAGACCTGTTTCGACACATCGATGCCCCCTTGTCAATGTTTGAAAGGTTTCAAGCCGAAATCACAAGAATGGAACTCAGTGGACTTGTCTAGTCAGGGATGTGTGCGCAATAAC